ATTTGAAAATCCCGCCGTTCCGCGGGGGGAAAGCGGGGGGTGGCGGCCGCTTCCCGCTCCGCAGTCCCCTCCCCCTCCCCCGCTCCCGGTGCCGCTCGGCTCCGCCCCCGCGGGTTCCCTGCGCTGCCTCCGCAACCCGCGCTGGTGCGGGCACCTCTGTCCCGGCCGTGCGGGCTCCTCGGGAAAAGCTTTTTGGTGAGGGGTTATGGGGAGCGAAGCGTCTCCCCACATCCTGCGCCGCCTGAAGTTCGGCAAAGCGGTTTGTTTTTGTTTTTTTCCTTCCTGTTTTTGTGTTTTATTTTGGTGGGGTTTTTTGTGTTTTGTTTGGTTTTTTTCTTTTAAAGTATTCCTTAGTTTTTACTTGTGTTTTCCTGTTACCGTTATTATGATAAAGAGGAACCTCTTTATTCTCCCCCGCTTATTCTCCATCACGCAATAAAAACTACGCCACTTCTATATGAAATACCTGGGACTAAGGAAATTACCCTTTTCTCTACATCGCTTCACTTCCTCTGTGCACGGCGTGATAAATTTAATGAAACATTGTGCTTCAAATATTACACCCACACAACCTAATCCCTGCGGACCTCTGAATAAACAAGTCGCTCTGGCTTCCTGCCAAGTCATTTGGGAATGACAGCAACTGATTAAAGGGAACGGATGCATCTTTATTATTGAAGGCATTGAAAGGCTGTTTATGGAAAAACAAAACAAAAAACCACCACACAACAAACCAAGCAAAGAACAAAAGCTTTAATTGACGTCGGAAAAGCATGGAAAAAGAAAAAAAAAAAAGCCCCTGCTGTGCGTTTTTCTTTGTACTTGCTCGAAGGCTAGAGCTAAGAGTACTCTGAAACGAGAGAGAAAATATCTTAATAGCTTTACTAGTTTATTAAGTGCTTAGCGTTTAGCTGTAGGATCTGCCTGACAAACAGTCGGAGCAGGGCACGCACAAAACGATCCCAACCATTCCCGGTGCTTCACATGACGCTTTCCCCAGCATCAAGCAGCACATCCGAGCCTGCTAATTAAAAAGCGATAAATACAAGCACCACTCACCGAACCGAACCAGTGCTAACGACTCTTTTACTGAGAAGGTGGGTGGCTCTTAAAAGAGCCTTTGGGTTAAAAACTGACGATCCGAGACGCTCTACTTGGAGCTGGTGTACTTGGTGACAGCCTTGGTGCCCTCGGAGACGGCGTGCTTGGCCAGCTCGCCGGGCAGCAGCAGCCGCACGGCCGTCTGGATCTCCCGCGACGTGATGGTGGAGCGCTTGTTGTAGTGCGCCAGGCGAGAGGCCTCGCCGGCGATGCGCTCGAAGATGTCGTTGACGAAGGAGTTCATGATGCCCATGGCCTTGGACGAGATGCCCGTGTCCGGGTGCACCTGCTTCAGCACCTTGTACACGTAGATCGAGTAGCTCTCTTTCCTAGTCTTTCTACGTTTCTTGTCACCCTTCTTCTGCGTCTTGGTGACGGCTTTCTTGGAGCCCTTCTTGGGAGCAGGAGCGGATTTAGCTGGCTCCGGCATCTTACAGGACTGTCACTACCTGTCCACCGCAGGAACGACGTAAACACAATAGCCGCGACACCCCTATTTATAGGGACGGTATGCAAATGACTGACTCAAAACTCTTCTTGCCTATTGGACAATCCGCGTTCGTGATGTCAAGCCATCTAAACTCTCTGATTGGCCACTATATCAGCCGGCTCAAGATTGGTTAACTTCTCAATCTCGGTCTCCGCCAATCAGAAGTCCTACCGGAGCCTGGAAGGAAGGTATAAAAGGGCAGGGTGGCGGCCCCTTTCGCATTTTTTCTGTTTTTGCAGCGTTGAGGGCTGTTTCTTCTGAGGTTTTTTTTGCTGCTTGTAGCGTTTTGGTTTAGCTTTTCTTTCTTTCGAAATTTTAAGCGAGCATTAGAAGATGTCCGGGCGCGGGAAGCAGGGCGGGAAGGCGCGGGCCAAGGCCAAGTCGCGCTCGTCGCGGGCCGGGCTGCAGTTCCCGGTGGGCCGCGTCCACCGGCTGCTCCGCAAGGGCAACTACGCGGAGCGGGTGGGCGCCGGCGCCCCGGTGTACCTGGCGGCCGTGCTGGAGTACCTGACGGCCGAGATCCTGGAGCTGGCGGGCAACGCGGCCCGCGACAACAAGAAGACGCGCATCATCCCCCGCCACCTGCAGCTGGCCATCCGCAACGACGAGGAGCTCAACAAGCTGCTGGGCAAGGTGACCATCGCGCAGGGCGGGGTGCTGCCCAACATCCAGGCCGTGCTGCTGCCCAAGAAGACCGACAGCCACAAGGCTAAAGCCAAGTAAAACTCTTTACCGACGACTAACCCAAAGGCTCTTTTAAGAGCCACCCACATCTTCCTAGAAAGAGCAGGAACACTCAAGTTTTACAAGTACGTGCTTCTTTCAGAAGGTTCTAATTTATTTGGGAACTTCTTAGATGTAAAGCTTTCTAGAGCATTCGGTTTCCTTCTTGCTTAATTTCTAGATTTACTGAAGCTTAATTCCTGTGTAGACTTTCAGCTCTGTCCCTGCATATTTCTCCCTTTAGGAAGTTAATGTGCTTATGTAAACGTTTCTCAGTTTCACTTCGCTGAACGCTCAATAAAGGCGGGAGTAAATGGCTCCGACCGGTCACCGCAGCCTGGTGTAATGGGGGGCCATGAGAACACGGCGAGGGTGGGCTCCGTGCCTCCCGCTCCGTGATTTCGGGGGGGGCAGCCC